ATAAGAGATGCCAATATTGGATCAGGCCAGAGGCCCATCCAGTCCAACACACAGTGGCCAAAAATACCAGGTGCCATCAGGAGGTCCACCAGTCATTAGAAGCCCTCCCACTGTTGACCCCCCCCCCCAAGCACCAAGATGACAGAGCATCACTTGCCCCAGAGTCCCTATCTATACCTTGTGGCTAATAGCCACTGATGGACCTCTGCTCCATATGCTTATCTAATTCCCTTTTGAAGCCGTCCATGCTTGTAGCCGCCACCACTTCCTGTGGCAGTGAATTCCATGTGTTAATCATTCTTTGGGTGAAGAAGTACTTCCTTTTATCTGTTCTAACCCGACCGCTCAGCAATTTCATTGAGTGCCCATGAGTTCTTGTATTGTGAGAAAGGGAGAAAAGTACCTCTTTCTCTACCTGCTCTTTCCCATGCATAATCTTATAAACCTCGATCATGTCACCCCTCAGTCGTCTTTTCTCCAAGCTAAAGAGCCCTAAGCGCTTTAACCTTTCCTCATAGGGAAAGTGTTCCAACCCTTTTATCATTCGAGTTGCCCTTTTCTGCACTTTTTCCAAAGCTATAATATCCTTTTTAAGGTGTGGTGACCAGAACTGCACACAGTATTCCAAATGAGGTCGCACCATTGATTTATATAGGGGCATTATCGCCCAACTTTGACAGATCCCTTTGGAGTGCCTCACAATCCTCACTGGTTTTCACCACCCTGAACAACTTCGTATCATCCGCAAATTTAGCCACTTCACTGCTTACTCCCAACTCCAAATCATTAATGAACAAGTTAAAAAGCAGTGGACCAAGTACTGATCCCTGTGGTACCCCACTGCTTACACCCCTCCACTGGGAGAACTGCCCATTTATACTCACTCTCTGTTTTCTATTAATTAGCCAGTTTTTGATCCATAAAAGGACTTGTCCTTTTATCCCATGATTTTTGAGCTTACTTAGGAGCCTTTGATGAGGAACTTTATCAAAAGCTTTCTGGAAGTCAAGGTAAACAATATCTATTGGATCCCCCTTGTCCACATGTTTGTTCACCCCCTCAAAGAACATTAACAGGTTAGTGAGACAAGATCTTCCCTTACAGAACCCATGCTGAGTCTGCCTCAATAGGTTTTGTTCATCTATGTGCCTACTAATTCTTTCTTTAATAATGGTTTCCACCAATTTACCTGGTACCGACGTCAGACTGACTGGCCTGTAATTTCCAGGATCTCCTCTGGAACCCTTTTTAAAGATGGGAGTGACATTAGCTACCTTCCAGTCCTCAGGAATGGAGGCTGATTTTAAGGAGAGATTACATATTTTTGTCAGGAGATCCACAAGTTCACAATTGAGTTCTTTCAGAACTCTTGGATGTATGCCATCTGGGCCTGGTGATTTATCAGTTTTTAAGTTGTTTATCAGTTTTAGGACCTCCTCTCTCGTCACCTCAATCTGACTCAGGTCTTTCAACACCCCTCCCGAACTCAGCGGCTCTGGAGTGGGCAAGCACCTCTCATCTTCCACAGTGAAGACGGAGGCAAAAAATGCATTTAGCTTCTCAGCCATTTCCCTATCATCCTTCAGTACTCCTTTTACCCCTTGGTCATCCAAGGGCCCCACTGCCTCCCTGGCTGGTTTCCTGCTTCTAATGTATTTGAAGAAAGTTTTATTGTTGGTCTTTACATTTTTTGCTATATGCTCCTCATATTCCCTTTTTGCCTGCCTGACCACAGACTTGCATTTTATTTGCCATAGCCTGTGTTCCGTTTTATCAGCCTCACTGTGGCCCCGTTCATACGAGCCCATTTGGGACAGGAGCGGGATGGAACAGGGGCGAAGCAAACGGACGCGATCCCACCTCAACATCTGGGGAGCGTGCCGTCTCCGTCCCTGATCCGGCCCAAATGGCGATACCCCACTGCAAAAACGAACCACCTATCTAGGTGGTTGCAGCCGTCTGGAGCGCCCCAAGCCGGCCGTGGGATCGGCGGCGCGTCCTTGCGCTGCCGCATCCCAGCCCCCGGCCGTACTGCGCATGCTCGGGCATGCGTAGTTCGGCAGCCTCCCCCTCCCATCGGGCTCGTCCTCCCCGGCGTCTGCTCTTGCCGGGGAGAAGAGGCGCTGCGGCCAGGGGATCCGTGGGATCCCGCCGCAGCGTCTCAACGTTGGAGCGGATCTATTAGCCGCGCTTTTGCCTCGTGGTTTCCCTGCCGTGTGGCAGGGGCCTATGACTAGCTTTCCACTGCTTAAAAGGAATCCTTTTCACATTTACTGGTTTCCATATAAGTGTGCATAAGTAAGTGTTTTCTTTAAGATACTATTTATATCTATTTTTAGCTGTGCTTTTAAGATGAATGGCTGAGATTTAATCTTAGTGTTTTATGTTTTAATATTGTATGACAATGTTGTATGCATTTTTCATGGGCAAACATAGCCTTTAAATAGATCGAAAATGTGCATATGGCTATAATTTTAAAGTTGTTTAGGATCTGAAAATTACATATCAAGCGATCCTAATCATTGGTGATACATTTTACAGAGTTAAAGGTAATCCTTAACCCAGAACTTCTGTGAAATAAAAGGATTTTGCACCTTAGTCTTGGATTGCAAATAATTTACCTTATACAGTTCCTTGTACTAAGAAAACACTCAGATTAAAGGGCACAAGAAGTCCCTCATGTTAAAATATATCCTGCAGTAATCAGGGCTCTTTTTGTCGAAAAAGCCCAGCAGGAACTCATTAGCATAATAGGCCACACCCAACAGCAAAATCCATTAGCATATTAGGCCACACCCTGACAGCACCGCTCATTAGCACATTAGGCCACACCGCCATGTTACCAGAAGTGTGGTCATCCAGCCACACTCACCTTTCCCTTCTTATTCTGTTTACCTTGTTTGTTGTCAAAACCCAGGGCTTTTTTGTAGCAGGAACTCCTTTGCATGTTAGGTCACACACCCCTAATGTAGCCAATCCTAATGAGTTTCTGCTGTTGGGTGTGGCCTATTATGCTAATGAGCTCCTGCTGGGCATGGCCAACTCGGGAGTCAGCCGGAACTCAGTTCCTGTGCGTTTCTGCCCAAAAATAGCCCTGCATCCCATGCATTTTATCAGCTTAAAGTAGCTGTCGATGTAGGTAGCTCCATGACTATTGGAAACTGTTAGGACATGACAGATGATGTTCCAAGGCTTAACTGATAACAGTATACACCCATCCACTTAACAGCTAATAGCCTTGTAGACTGTCGATATTCTGTAACAAGTGATGTTGGATGCTTCCAGCAGAAACTCGCATTTTTGCACTGTCACAACATAATTTGCTTCTCGGATGAGCCAGCAACAGGGGTATCTCATTGGTACCTTTTTACATATGGATCATCAAAGAAGGAATTCATAATCCTGAATTTAGTTTCTAGTATGAGAGGTGCAGAAGCTAGAATAGCCAACTGCCTGGAGAAAAAAATGTCCGTTCCTTTAATGGAGGTTTAATGAGATGTTATTTACCTCCATGCCATGAAGAGCTTCAGCTGCCCATTTCTACACATTAATGGACAAGACATTTTTCTCCAGGTCTGCTGGCAACCCTAGCAGAAGCTCAAACCTGCTTGGAAATCATATCATTGAAAACTTTCTCAAATAAGGTACTCAGTAGTGAAGGAAAGAAAAATGTTACATGCACTCAAAAATGTTAATTTATTCATTACTCCTTCATATGTTTTAGGGCTGACCCAAGGTAATTTCTGCAAACAGCCTGTAATTCTTATATGTCTAAACTGTCACAGGGTCAGCTGTCTTAACGAAGGCATAACCTGTGCAAAGGAAATTCTGCAAAGTGGAAAGGAAGATTTTATTATTATCAGGGGCACATACGTGTAGAATGGGTGGTAAAAATTGTCTGAAAATTATTCTTTTGCTTCCTGTCTTGAATACTCACAAATTCTAGGACAAAACATTCTTGATCATAACATGGAAGTAATAAAATAGGAGTCTAGTGGCATCTTAAGGAACAGTTCTCCAGGTTCTCTAAGCCCAGAGATGATGGTGTAGACAGATGCTCATTTGAAACAGTATTGAATCAGACGAGTCTACTCAGAGTGGATGAGGATCCTTCCCAGCTGCTGACAGATAGGCAAAGTAGGATTAATACAAAATACGACTGGTGCAGGATGAACCATGATATCCAAATCCAATTTAAAAAAACAACAACCCAGAACTCCAGCTAAACCAATTAACATGTCAGTGTGGAACCTGCTAAAATATTGGCAGAGATTTTGATGTAGCGCTTCCTAGCAATTGACCGAACATCTATATTCCACCACACCGACTGCCACACGCAGCCTACTATAACTGATTTCCCTAGCCCAGCATGCAATGTTCCCTCTAAGCTGTGGAGTCTTGTGAGCAAAAATTCTACTTTGTGAGCTACTGGCACTAAAGTTGTGAGCAAGTGACTTGGCTGCTGCATAACTTAGTTGGCTCTGGAGCCATCCTTCCTGAGCTAAGACAAAAATGTGTGAGCTGGAGGCTAAAAAACTGTGAGCTAGCTCACACTAACTCAGTTTAGAGGGAACACTGCCAGTATATCTCTTGCAGCTAGTCTAGCGCCTATATATGGAGGGCGGTTGTACAGCCTCCAAAACATGTGGACTTCGGCTTGAGCCCCGCCTCCGCTTAGGGAACCCTATTCAGAAGGCGCCCCGGGGTCCCTGCTTCCAGAGGCGCTTTTTCAAAGGTTGCTTCGTCGTCTACCTCCCAGGTCGCGCTGGCCACAAAACCGGAGGGAAACCATTCCTGTGGGCTCTCCCCACCCTACCCCGTTACAAGGCTCAGTCTGAGGAGCGGGACCCGCCTCCTCGTGCCCTGCCAAGGAAAAGAAAAGAGAGGAGGACGCGCTGCCAACGAACGTTTTCTCGGCCGCTCGAGAGTGTGTTTCAGAACCACAGGCAGAGTCTCGAAACCACAAATATTCCCAAACCGAGGGGTGGGGCGGTTCTTACCTTCTGGGCCGTATAGCCTTAATACAACTGGCAAGGGTGCTGCCGTCACACGGGTTCGCTTAAGAAAGGGCAGGAGGAAACCGCGCAGGCGGGCTCAGTAAGCAAGATGTGGTAGAGTGGGATAAAGGTCGACTGTCGGCCTCGCCCCCAGGGAGCGGTGGCTGAAACGGAATTGAGTAGGCGTGCGCGTCCTTTGGGAAGGTGTGCCGAAGCGACTTTAGAGGCGCCCCCCAGGGCAAGATACGTCACCGGCCTGCTGCCAGAAGCAGGTTATTTGAAAGTTGGTTCTGTTAGCAACAAACAATGAGGCGAACTTCCAAATACGTTAAGACTGGAAAGGGGTATTTCGTTTCAGTGTAAAAATCGTATGAATTCATGAGGATCCATTTAGATCCGACTTTTACCCAGACCCCTGCAAAATCATGGTTCCAAAGCATGGATCCTCAGTGTTTCTGCGTTGGGTCACTCAAAATGCACCATGAAATGTTCCTCTGCCTCCCTGAGCTCCCCCAGCTCTCCTTGGGGGCTCTTTAAAAAGTTATGGCCGCTGGCACTGTCTGCAGCTGCAATGGCAGGCGGGGTGGTGGCATTTGACTCCTAGGGGCAAATTCCACCTCTCGCATGAGAGGTCATTCTGGGTCCCCCAGCTCTCCTTGGGGGCTAGGGTTGCCAAGTCGATCTTTGCTGGGAGCTTCTCAGTCTGACTCAGGTCTTTCAACACCCCTCCCAAAATCAGCGGTTCTGGAGTGGGCAAGCACTTCCCATCTTCCACAGTGAAGACAGGGGCAAAAAAAAATGCATTCAGCTTCTCAGCCATTTCCCTATCATCCTTGAGTACTCCTTTTGCCCCTTGGTCATTCAAGGGCCCCACTGCCTCCCTGGCTGGTTCCTGCTTCTAATATATTTGAAGAAAGTTTTATTGTTGGTCTTTATGTTTTTTGCTATATGCTCCTCATATTCCCTTTTTGCCTGCCCGATCACAGGTTTGCATTTTATTTTCCACAGCCTGTGTTCCCTTTTATCAACATCATGGAGACTAGCTTTCCATCGCTTAAAGGAATCCTTCTTACCTTTTACAGCTTCCATTACTTTGTTTGTTAACCATGCAGGCTTTTTTTAATACCTATTTGTGCCTTTCCTAACCTGTGGTATATATATTTTGTCTGAGCTTCTAGGATTGTAGTTTTAAATAGTCTCCTAGCTTCCCCAGTGATTTCGACCCTTTCTACTTTTCCTTTCAGTTTCTTCCTCACATGTCCCCTCATATCAGAGAAGTTACCCCTTTTAAAGTTAAAAGTGATTGTGTCAGTCTTTTTGGGCAACTCTCTATACAAATGTTAAACTCAATAAGATTATGGTCACTGTTCCCAAGCAGTGCAATCACTTTTACATCTCTCACCAGGTCTTGGGCGTTACTTTGGACCAAATCCAGGATCGCCTCCCCCCTGGTTGGTTCTGTGACCATCTGTTCCATAGCACAGTCATTAAGAGTGTCTAGATACTCAAATTAAATCAGTATTCATTGGTTTATTTGTTTATTTATATATTAGATATATAGCTCCCCCCCCCTGTGCAACAGGGCTCAGAACGGGTAACAACAATATTAATATTAAACAACAATATTAAAACAACTCTTTCAATAATACTACTTGCACCAATAAGATGGCACATAAAAGGAAGCACAGCACAATGCCCCTATTCTATGGAGGAGCAGATATCATACAGTTTGAGGAGAGAGGAAGGAAAGGAAGTCAGCCCAGATAGAACTTCACAATTCTTTCTTTCTTATATGTGCACAAGGCGGCTTGGGTTTCACAGCAAGCAAACTACTGTGGCTTTACATAAATTTAGAAGTAACAGCAAACAGTGAAGTTTCAAGACCTGTCCAAATCTCCACACCACCAAGTATAATGTTGCTTTGTCCAACATCAGCACAGTACCAGAAATGGTACATGGGAGAACTACAATCTTAAATGCTATCAAGCCAGCATCTTTTTAAGTATTCTCTTGAAGGCATATTTGATAAAGATGAGGACAGGCTATAAATCTTATACAGGGCTCTTTTTGTAGGAAAAGCCCAGCAGGAACTCATTAGCATAATAGGCCACACCCAACAGCAGGAACTCATTAGCATATTGGGCCACACCCCTGACGGCATAGCTCATTAGACATTAGACCGCACCCACATGTTACCAGAAGTCTGGTCATCCAGCCACACCCATCTTTTGCTTGTTATTCTGTTTACCTTGTTTGTTGTCAAAACCCAGGGCTTTTTTGTAGCAGGAACTCCTTTGCATGTTAGGCCATACACCGCTAATGTAGCCAATCCTAATGAGTTTCTGCTGTTGGGTGTGGCCTATTATGCTAATGAGTTCCTGCTGGGCGTGGCCAACTTGGGAGCCAGCCGGAACTCCGTTCCTGTGCGTTCCTGCCCAAAAATAGCCCTGCTTATAAATAAATAGATAAATAAATATCATTTTCTTGAAATAAATATTGGCTTGTTTGATGGAAACAATTATGAGCAAAAGTAATGAAAAAGTTAAATCCTTGGTTTGTGAATTAGATTTTTACAACCATTTTGGCAATCAGAATGAAAAATTAACAAACTGAGAAATTGAACATTTGTGTTGGTAGCTTTATTCAATAAGAGACTCCAAGTGCGAAATCAGTGCTGTAATCCATGAAAAATACGCCTAATTCTGTTCCATAAGTCAAATAAAGTAGTATTTAACTGCTTTTAAAATTATGTTCCATATCCATTTTTCATCTTTCCTTTCATGGGTTTTTGTTTCTTGTCCAAGATGTTAGATCAAACATGTTCTGTCCTTCTGTTTTGCGCATAACTTTACTCTGTTAGCTGGGGCTGTGAAAGCAGGAGTTCTCAAATTATGATTCAGTTTGGCCAAGGTGAATCTAGCAGCCATTTTTTAAAACAAGAAGTAGATAATGTGGTGTGTCCCTTTGAAGTGGAAATATATAAGGCCTATGTGTGCAAAGATAGAAAATCCATTTATAGGGGGGGGGAGAGTTCTTGCATTGTTAGGTTCTGGGGCTTAAGCCCTTAAAATGTTCTGATCTGTTTATGGAGAAAGGATCTAACTGAAGTATGTATCTTTTCTTTCTCTGTGTTATCCTTTGTGCCTGATTTTGGATGGTAAGGTTTTTAGGGCAGGGACCTGTTTTTATGTACTCAGTAAAGTGTTACACACATTGATCATGTATTAATAATATTAAAAATAATGCAGCAAAACCTCTGAAAACAAGCTGGTATTATCGCATCACCTGGGGGATATCTCAGTTAAACAGATACTGATAAGCAGGAGTGTAAATATGTTAATTTTAGGCATCCATCACTTGAATAGTATTATGCAAGTAATAATAGTTAGCATTTATATAGTGTGTCCAAGGACTTCTTTGACATTATATTAGTAATCTATGACAACCTTGCTAGGCATATATGTATCCTTATCTTTATCCTGCAGACTAGGGGAGGGGGATTGAGGTTGAGAGGGAATACCATGCCTAAAATCACCCAATTAAGTTAATAGCTGAGGTGAGATCTGTACGATTTCTCACTATAAGTGTTGGATGTTTTTATTATGTTTTATATGTTTTTAATTATGGCACGGCTAATTGCCCTGCCCTTGTTAGCCGCCCTGCGCTCACTGGGGAGGGCGGGATATAAATGTGAAAAATAAATAAATAATATATAAATTGCTCAGTATTATTGTGCTTCTTAACATTTTTGTAACTGTAAATTATAGGAGAAGTGATAATACAGCAAGAAATAACTTTAAACCATTCCTGTCATAACAAAAGATTGCCACAGTTTAATTTTGAATGATGAAATTCACTCTCAGATTAAAGTAAAAAAATAATTTTTGCCAGATGCAAGTAGGATATCATGAGAATGGACACCTGGCAGTTGGACATATTTTGCAGTTGTTGATATAAGTCTAAAACAGAATTATTTCCCATGCAAGTAATGTATTCAATAGTGTTCGCTTGATTGATGTATCCAATGAAATGTATAATGGGTACTGCATGAGATCCAAGTGGAAAGGGTTGTCCAAGTGAAATAAAGCATGCTCCTTTCTAGATTACATAATAACTCAACAAAAGCATAAGTAGCTAACATTGTTCTTCTATTTTCTGAATGCCTATAAAATGGAACTTTAAAATAGTAATTTCCAAAGTAATTGTAATGAAAATCTGGAACTTGTTTCTTTAACAACATATTTCATGTTTTTGTTACTGTCACAATATCATTTTACAGAAACATGTACCATTAAGTTAATTTACTTATTCCATCTGTTTCCAGGCTTTCCATCATTACAAACCATTTAAACTGGAGGATTTTGATTTTAAGGGTATTTAAACCCACACTTGCTTTTGACATAGGTCCAAGCTGTCTTTGGCTATACATGTGCCCACAATTGTGCACATAATTTTATTTATTATATTTTGATAATTAGCTTCTTCTATGTACTCAGGATGGTATACATGGTTTCTCTACTCTTCCACTTAATTCATAATGAATGTAACCCCAGAAAGTAGATTTGGTTGAGATTCAGTAACTGGTCCAGCCACCCCCAGTGTAATCCTGTGCAGTTACTTTGATCTAAGTAAATTGAAAACAGCGGGTTTAGACTGGAGTAACTCTGTTTAGGATTGTACTTTCACTGTCTTTCATGGTTTATTTATTTATTTAATTAATTTATTTATTACATTTATACCCCACCCTCCCAGCCATCGCCGGCTCAGGGCAGCTTACAACAGCATAAAAACAACAATAAATGGTATATACTTAATGTTATACTTAATGCTTTTAGGAATGTGATAAATAAAATCTAAAATCCTGGTTGCTTAAATTGACCCACGTGGTAAAATTGTAAGTTTCTACGATTTTTGAATTATGCAGCAATTGAATGAAGTGGTAGACAAAGAGCCAGATATTTTATTACATTAGAGAAGAGTCATAGTTGTCATTTCCCATCTCTCACTTCATGTTGTTCTATAATGCTGGGGTGCTGAAACCACATGGAATGGGTGGGAAGAAACAAGC